ATATTATTATATATAATATTATAAATAAATATATATATATATATATATATATACAGGGTGTACCAAAAATGTCTCGCAATCCAGAAATGGGAGATTCCTGAGATCGTTCGAAGTAACTTTTCCCTTAACGAAGATGCAATCCGCGGTTTCTCGTTTACAAGTTATTAACGAAAAACACTGACAAATGAGAGGCGAGTTCGGTTGGCGCGAGGCGTCCCAGCCAACGAGCGCACGAAGCCCAGTTTCGCTCATTAGTTTGTTCGTCTCGCGCCAGCCGATCTCGCCTCTCATTGGTCAGTGTTTTTCGTTAATAACTTGTAAACAAAACCGCGGATTGTATTTTCGCTAAGGAAAAAGTTACTTCGAACGATCTCGGGAACCTCTCATTTCCTCCGGATTGCAAGACATTTTTGGTACACCCTGTTTACACAAACACACGAACACACATCGTATGATACTTCATGAGCGCACTAGACGTGATCGTTCTTACTTTGGAATTATCTTGTGAACGCTTGGAATTGTATTTTTGATGGTCGATGTGAAAACTGTGTTGAGATCGATTTACGTGTCTCTTCTTTGTTATATGAATAAGTATGTGTGCACCGATCACATTGTATCGTCTGTGTACGTTACGAAGTTATTGTTATTCGTTGTCGTGCGATATTGTCGAGTACTCACTATCAACAATAGCGTACACTGTTATTTGTGTTCGTCCATTAAAGTTTCTTTAGCCACGTCGAATTCGTATGTTTTAATGGAAGTACGAAAGGGATTTCGTAATTGTTTTGATCGTCGAGAAACGTCTCACTGTCTTGTAAATGTTAATAAAGAATCTCTTGTAAACTACGATGTATGTAATCGATTCTGTGTCGCTAAGAGAGTTGTAAAAATTGCTCAATCAATTTCGTAGGTCACCAATCGTTTTCACACACATCTGCCTTTCATTTCCTATTGGACTTTGCTTCCGTTGCAACGTTACTCGATATTACTTGTCCAGCGGTGTTAACGTGTTTTTTATCATCCTAAATGTGTTCGATGTTATTGTCATTCTTAAAGTTGTCTTTTTACGGAAAAATTCTTCAGTTTCGGCAATGCTCGCAGGGAACCACAATTTCTATGTAACCAAGCTTATTGTACGATATCGATAAGCATCGACGGAATTTTTCTAAAAGGACAATTCGATATTGTTCGGTCTTTTTCGGCCACTCGTGAAAGTAACCACTAGATTGCAAATGTTATGTTCACCTCGATCGTTAACGATACAGCACATTGACTATATCCGTGGAAAAAATTGACTTCCGAATATCAGCAAATCATTCTGTTTATCGAAAGAAAAATGGAATTTAGGCTTTAGTAATTATTGTATGTCGTTGTTCTGCGAACGCCACCCGGAGAAATGGTTGAATCTTTCTGTTAAATGTTCTCCGTAGACGGGTGAGATCAAAACTCGACAGCTAATCGGAGTCTGTTCTTGACGCCGATAGGTTGAGTATTTCCCCGAGGAAACAATTATGGATCAAGGCAGTGAAGAAGCTGACTTCCGAGAGGCTGGGCAGAGAAGGACTGGCGGCGTGGGAGGATCGGAAGTCCAGCAGCGATCCGGAAGTTCCAGACGACACAGAAACGGAGGAGGCGATCGACGACGATGAGACTCCGGGGGATCCGGAAGTGGACCTGGATGATCAATCTGTCGACGCCGAAGCCCAGACGCAGCGAGGTACCATTGTTTCATTTTTCTCGCACCGGTAGGGTAGATGTCCCGGTTTCCGCGCCTGTCCCAATTTCAGTGCCACCGGATTAAAAACGCATAGAAAGAAAAAACTGTTGTACATATATAAATCGATGATCTATTTTTTTCTTTATCGTGTTCACCTATCAACATGTTAAAGATTCAGGGAGAGGTAATTACATTTTTCCACGTGTTAAAATGTAATAAACATTTTTCAATCGACGCTACAGCAGTTCCGAGGCGCTTAAGTAATACACGTCTTGTCAAAAATCGTAAGAAACGTTCGCTGAAGTTTTTCGTATAAACGAATGATTAACGTGATGCGCGTCGTACGAAACGCATATCGTGTCGTCATTTGGTATTAACAACGATGAAAGAAACGGAACACCGAGCGTGCATATTTTTATATTTTTAATATAAATCCAGAAATAGGATCAGATTGTAGAACAGGTCTGAATTAGACCGCGTAATCGAACCTGACCGCATTTTCATCGAACAATTGAAAAATCGTGCATCAAATACGTGCACGGAAATATGGAAAGGCACAGAATTATGTGCCGAGCTCCTGGAAGGGCACAGAATTAGGGTCAGAAACACCTTTTCTTATTTCATTAACACTAGATTTACGGAACCCGTCGAAATGACTGGTCACTAATTTTTTCATTTACGATTATGCATATCGTAAAGATACACATTTATGAGTTATTTATTCAATTTATATGTTACTTACGGCAAATGTTACAATAATACTTGTTAAAAATCAGAATAAATGTCTTATTGTTACTTTTGTGCTCCCTAAATCTAGTGTTAAAAACTATTATTAAATTACTAATTTTTCTCATGCAAGAAAATACGTTTAAAAACAAAAATGTCCGAAAAATTGAAATATATTTTTGGTACATTAAATGAAAATTATAGATATAAAATGACAGTTTCGGCAAAGCAAAAATTGGCTTAAAGGCACGGAAACTGTGACGCCTACCCTAACAAAATTCAACCCCCGAACATATCGAACTCGAGTTTCCCGAAGATCGTTTCATCGACCAGCCATTATTTTCTCGATCACGAGTTAGAATCTCGCCTCGTTTCAGATGTATTCAAGAAAGGGGTCCTCTACAAGGGAATATTCTGTCCGTCGCTCTCGAACAGCTTCCACAGCAAGAAGCTCGAGACGTCCTACCTTCATTATTCGAATCGTCAAAGACAGAAATCGTTGATCATGCTCAACATCGTTGACCTGAGCCTAAAGGTACGCCAGCATCTTCCGCACTACCCTTTCCCTGTTGCGCTATAATTTGTTGCCAATTAATTGGAACCTCGTGCAACCGATGTTTCAAGAGCGGGCAAACGCAACAAGTATTCTCTCCAATCCGATGCGTTTCTTCTGTTTCACGCGTCGCCATACGCAGATCGTTCTGTTGGCAATATGGCTGTGGCAAAGGGACGAGGACAGCGCCGGTTTGATCGAGTCCTTGTCCTGGGCGTCCTGTTGCATGGCGGCGAATATGGTAGTCTGCATTCTCGGCTGGTGGCGATGTTTCTCCAATAATTATTTGTACTGGGCTTCCATATTCACTTGGTTACTGATCAATTCGCAAGGTGACGACGCATCATCCCCTAATTACCCGGCGAAAAACCAGACGTCCTCTGTCCTTGGTTCTCGTCGATGATCGTAAAATGGAACGAATACATCGTAAACGAGCAATCCTTTCGATCTCGCGCGTGTACAATTAATGGACGAATCGAATTTCGACCTAGAAAATACCGATTGGAAGAATTCGATCTTCGTTGTCCGCAAAAATCAACGAATCTTTTTCACGCATCGACCGAATTATTCGATCTCGTAGAAACAGTGGAATCGGTCGGACATTTTATTCCACTTTTGGCTCTCGTTTCGTACTGTGAGCCCTCCGCTGTTTGCGGTAGCTTTAAAGTCGTATACCTATTTATCATGTTTTCTAGCCTGATTTGCCACAATGTAACAAAAATATTTTGTTCTATGGTTTCTCCATCGTGTTTGAGGAAATTATCAAAATTCAATCTCTCTAAACTTGTCATTTCACATGCAATGAGATCGATATCTCCTGGTTTCGCGTTATACAACCCTCTTTTTTTTTTTACTCGCATAAGAAGTTCGGATTACAGAGGGTTTAACTGATATTGAAATCGAGCCGATAGAATTTTTGACAAGCGCAAGAATTTTTTCGGTCGCGAAGAACGATATCGCGCGAACCTGTTGATCCTCGTCGAACGTGAAACGAGAGTTTCCAAACTATCGTGGAACGAGGCAGAATTTTCGAGCAAAAGGAACAGCAGGACGATCTGTTTCGGTGGATTCTGTCAAAAATCGACGTTTCGATTCGACAGCGAAGCGTGAACGTTCGCGTGCGGATTTTTATTCGATCCCGGACCGAAATGAAAAATATTACGAGACTCGGACAAGGGCGCCGGTTTCCTCTCTGTGTCCGCGGTTGGATCGTATCTCGGTTTACCGAATAGAGTTTTGCTCCAGTGGCTCGTGCGTTGGCGGTCCAGCGAATTGCTTGAACGTCCAGCGGACCGTAGAGAGAGAGAACGCGGTAGAACCAACTTATATTGTCCCGGGCATGGGTTACTATCGATTGGCGATCCCGTCGGCGGTATTTAATGCGGACGGACCTGTCGGGGTCTATGGAAAATATCGTTTGCCTCGTAGCTCCTGTCGTTTTTGCAAGCGCGCGTAGCAACTTTGAGTAATTTGTTGAAATTTCCGTGTCATGCAATGTTGCTGCCATTCCGACCCTCTTTTCCTTCTCACCGTTTCATCGTACAATATACTTCACTGGAATTATTAAGTCGAGTTATAAATAACTTGGACATTTACTTTACTTTTTTTTGTCTTTTTTTTCTTTTCTTTTCTTTATTTCGAACTCTTATCTATTTAGTGAAATATCTCGTAGAGTGGATAGACTCGAACAATAGATTCTACCTAGCTGCATCGGAAGTTATTCATGACTCTCGACCTAATTGTATTTAGACAGTAATTTCTTTGATCGAGATTAGCTTCCTTAACCGCGTGCGTTACTTCGACGAGTTTGACCCGTGTGATGAATACTTCTAATCCGTTGAGAATGAATTTCGTTGTCTCAAAGTCGGAATAAAATCTTGTTCCGCATTCGTGTCTATCAAATAAATCAATGTGCACAAATATATCAGCATTCAAGTAAATGTAGTCGCGCAATAAATACGAATCTTATATTTCTCATACGATATTATTGCAATCGGAAAGTGACTATTTGACAGCGATTGTCAATTTGTCTAACGCGCAATTGCGTCTTTCGATGCATGCCCTTCGATCGAGTAGAGTGATCAAAATTGATATTTCGCTTCTGCCATCGGAATTTGTTCTTAAAAATGTCTATGTTTCCGAATCGAAACGAAAGTAGAAATACGAAACGATGTTGAAGAAACACGTCTATCGGTTCTTAAATCGTCGAGTAATTTCAGAAAATAATCGAATTTGCTACGCGCGAACAGATATTTCTACGAGCGTGAAAGGATGCCGACGATGCGGACCGTCGTCCGACAAGATGGCGGGCGCATACGCTAACCGATGTGAATTGCAGGTTTTATAGGGGCCGGTCTAGACTTCGCTAGCCAACAGCGACTAATGTGGTATATTTTGTTTGTCGTGTATGCACCGTACGCCATGCTGCCGTTGCCATTGAGATGGTGCGTCCTTGCCGGTTATGGGACAGCATTGACCCACATGGTTCTGGCGGGAATTACCTTATTACGAGATCCCACACACGTAAGGATCCTTGGTCTACGTCCTACGTTCTGCTTCGCGGTATTGCCTCCTTCCCGAAAACTAAAAAGGACCATGTCCGACCAGTTCCGAGGCCAGTGTTATTCGAATCGTTTAAAAATTAAACAGTCCGATCTGGAAATGTGGAAAATCGTGAAACAATTCATGCGCGAGCGAAGTAGCTCGGCTATAATGCAAATCTTTCGTTTCGCAGTCATACCCAGGCGTTCGAGGATCGTATTATCGTATTATAGGCTGAGAATGGCTAGCAGATGGGATAAGGCGGCCGATTACTCTGTAACCGTCAATATATACCTCAGGCAGCATGTGCTTCGCACCTTTTTCTGAGCATTTGCCTGCAATAAAAACGAGACGCATACCAGTTCTTTAAACTGGTTTTATCGACGGAACGGTCCGAGTTTCGTAAGAATTGTGCGCTGCTTCGTTAATTAGAGTCGTCGTTGCGATAATAAACTTAAAAAACGGTAAACTTCTATCGTGCCTTCAAGTCCTGCAGGCCACTTGGCTACGGTTCCCAAGTTTTTTAAGCACAATAAAAAGTGACAATGCTTTTGAACAGCTCGAAGCAGGGGCGCACAGAGTTTCGCGACTTTCATTTTCCAGGTAGACAAATCTTTTCACCGATTACAGTGTGACCTCAGTCTCGAATTAATACAATTTTCCCTCGAGATTTTTTAGTCGCGAATTTACGAATGTTTTCCGAGGGTCAAGGACATTGTTCTTTAAGGACCGTTCTTTACGATTCCTGCGTCGATCTCCCTTTTGTTTACACGCCTTCTCGATACTTCCGCCCGATTTTGCAGCTTCTTCGTCCGTTTATTTTACTTTTAAATACACGCCGTTTTGCTATTGCAGCTGCACGATGTCGCGTGCATAGTTCGAATGCTAACGACCAACGTGCTTCTTTATCTTGCAATGAATCTAGCTGGCATGTACACTAAGTATTTGACAGACAGAGGACAGAGGCAGGCGTTCCTCGAGACGCATCGATCCCTCGAGACCAGGCAGAGGACACAGAATGAGAACAATCGACAGGAGAAGCTGCTGCTGTCCGGTGAGACACGAATCATTTCCGAAATAATATCTGGAGGACAATGAGACGACCTCTTCGCGACGAAACATCAACTTGATGCGAAATATTCCGATACGACTTGACCGAAAATCATTCAGTCCGCCTACAACAATTTTAGACTACTTATATATATATATATATATATATATATATANATTTCCGAAATAATATCTGGAGGACAATGAGACGACCTCTTCGCGACGAAACATCAACTTGATGCGAAATATTCCGATACGACTTGACCGAAAATCATTCAGTCCGCCTACAACAATTTTAGACTACTTATATATATATATATATATATATATATATAAAGTGATCTTTTCAGGTTGCGTAGCTTTACGTTCGATTTTTTTCAAATCGTCTTCGGAGACGTAGCTTTTACAACGGTCTGGACTCTGAGGAGAATAGCTCGGTTCTCCATGGTCGATTTCAAACATGGAGCAATTTCTTTAGCTTCGAAGAGGAACTATTCTCGGTGAAAATATTTTCTAATCTAAACAGATTGCTAAAACGAGAATCAAGCACCTACTAGACTTGCTAAAATAAGAACGAAGTGCTAGACTTGCTGGAATAAAAATAAAGTATTAGACGTACTAAAATAAGAATAAGTCGCCGGACCTGCTAAAAATTACGTTAATTAATCTTTTTGTCCCGGTCCGAACGTACCGTGTGTTACAATTAAGCGACAGCAATTCGCCGTCTCGAGGCAACGAGAATGAAGGATCGTGTTTCGCAGTCGTCGAGTCGACCGCGAGCGGTACCGGTGTTAAAAATGAAGTTCATTATTCCGCGATTCCTGCGTCGAGCCACGGTTGCTCCCATAAATATACACGGTGCTCGTAATTACGTATCGCGTCGAATATATTTACAGATACCGTCGAGCGCGATCTATAAAGACGCAACAACGGGGGTCGCGTCGGCAAGCAAGCAAGAAAGCAAGCAAGCAAGCAAGCAAGCAAGCAAGCAAGCAAGCAAGCAAGCACGGGGTTCGCCGGCGCGTGTAACTTGCTCAGCCGAGTGTCAAAAAGGGTCACTAGACACTTTCACTCGATTGCGCCAGATACATGGTTTACCGATAGCCTGTCGGTGCTTCGCTTTTATAATACTATCGATCTCTCTCGGCGATGATTCGTTTAGGGAGAACATGCAAAATACGACGGAACGAATGGCGGCTGGCTCGTCAGAGCCTGCTGTGCAGTTTCCGTCGAGCCGAATGCCCCTACTCTTGACGCTTTATCTACCGGAAGCTTGAATCGAATCTTCGATTGCTGTGCCCTGCTCGGGGAAAAACAGAACGATCTTTCTCTACGCGATATAATCCAAAATGAAATTATCAATGCCGACCGTTCGCGTCGCTAAACAATTTATCGAGCACCTTTTTCATTTGTAAACCACAATCGTGGACAAATATATGCGGACNTGCACGATGTCGCGTGCATAGTTCGAATGCTAACGACCAACGTGCTTCTTTATCTTGCAATGAATCTAGCTGGCATGTACACTAAGTATTTGACAGACAGAGGACAGAGGCAGGCGTTCCTCGAGACGCATCGATCCCTCGAGACCAGGCAGAGGACACAGAATGAGAACAATCGACAGGAGAAGCTGCTGCTGTCCGGTGAGACACGAATCATTTCCGAAATAATATCTGGAGGACAATGAGACGACCTCTTCGCGACGAAACATCAACTTGATGCGAAATATTCCGATACGACTTGACCGAAAATCATTCAGTCCGCCTACAACAATTTTAGACTACTTATATATATATATATATATATATATATATAAAGTGATCTTTTCAGGTTGCGTAGCTTTACGTTCGATTTTTTTCAAATCGTCTTCGGAGACGTAGCTTTTACAACGGTCTGGACTCTGAGGAGAATAGCTCGGTTCTCCATGGTCGATTTCAAACATGGAGCAATTTCTTTAGCTTCGAAGAGGAACTATTCTCGGTGAAAATATTTTCTAATCTAAACAGATTGCTAAAACGAGAATCAAGCACCTACTAGACTTGCTAAAATAAGAACGAAGTGCTAGACTTGCTGGAATAAAAATAAAGTATTAGACGTACTAAAATAAGAATAAGTCGCCGGACCTGCTAAAAATTACGTTAATTAATCTTTTTGTCCCGGTCCGAACGTACCGTGTGTTACAATTAAGCGACAGCAATTCGCCGTCTCGAGGCAACGAGAATGAAGGATCGTGTTTCGCAGTCGTCGAGTCGACCGCGAGCGGTACCGGTGTTAAAAATGAAGTTCATTATTCCGCGATTCCTGCGTCGAGCCACGGTTGCTCCCATAAATATACACGGTGCTCGTAATTACGTATCGCGTCGAATATATTTACAGATACCGTCGAGCGCGATCTATAAAGACGCAACAACGGGGGTCGCGTCGGCAAGCAAGCAAGAAAGCAAGCAAGCAAGCAAGCAAGCAAGCAAGCAAGCAAGCAAGCAAGCACGGGGTTCGCCGGCGCGTGTAACTTGCTCAGCCGAGTGTCAAAAAGGGTCACTAGACACTTTCACTCGATTGCGCCAGATACATGGTTTACCGATAGCCTGTCGGTGCTTCGCTTTTATAATACTATCGATCTCTCTCGGCGATGATTCGTTTAGGGAGAACATGCAAAATACGACGGAACGAATGGCGGCTGGCTCGTCAGAGCCTGCTGTGCAGTTTCCGTCGAGCCGAATGCCCCTACTCTTGACGCTTTATCTACCGGAAGCTTGAATCGAATCTTCGATTGCTGTGCCCTGCTCGGGGAAAAACAGAACGATCTTTCTCTACGCGATATAATCCAAAATGAAATTATCAATGCCGACCGTTCGCGTCGCTAAACAATTTATCGAGCACCTTTTTCATTTGTAAACCACAATCGTGGACAAATATATGCGGACACTTTTTAAAACGGAATAACTTCTCTAAGATTGGACCGGACGATGTGAAGTTTTTTTCTTTTTTTTTTTAAATGACAGAACGACGAAGAAGTTAAATAATCGGGTTCCTTAACTTTTTTAGCCGAGCATCTAATATCGAGCTTGTACCGTTATCGATATTTTTGACACGATTGCAAGAAATTTATATAATGCAAAAGAAAAATATAATCTCACCGAAAAGCTGGTTCGAACAGACGGTAATCGTGTATGTGCTTCTAATTTGATGTCCCTCTGAAATTCGTGTATCTACAGAGATTTCGTATTTTCGTTAAAAACGAAGAGGGAAGCGGGTGCGAGGGAAAAAGGAATAAAAAAATGTTAGGCGAATTAACAAATATCCGGGATGTTTAGAATCAGCATGGACGTTGAATTCGGTGCGTGTCTGTTATAGTTCTGCCCGATTTCGTTGCGAAAGAAATGATTTGCGATATCGCCCGCGAAACGGCTCGAGGCGGCACGATCTCCTTCACGCCGAATCAATTTCACAGAATCTACATTCATCGTTACGAGAACGTTAGCATACTCTTCGCGGACATCAAAGGATTCACTGGTACGTGTTCCCAATTTTTAGCCAACGCGAACGAACAGAAATTTCGTTACTCTCTTATCTCTCGATCTTCTATCCACCCGTCGATTACAATAGATTTTCAGTCGCTGTACGTAAGTACGCCTCTCGACGAAAGACAATTGCCTCCTACCTAAAAGACGGTAGTCTCGTTATTTTAGTTGGACGGAGCGCCCGCGATCGTTGTAGTCTTACATTGCCCATCCCGATTTGTTGTTAGTGCTTCTTTTCTGTCAAATTCTTGCGAGGAGAGAGGCATAGTTGGTTGTTCGAGATACATATGTGGTTAAATCGATTGAATTGAATTCAGCGTTGGCTAGCCACTGCAGCCCTCAGGAGCTCGTCAAGGTGCTGAACGATTTGTTCGCCCGTTTCGACAAACTCTCCGCGGAGAATCATTGTCTCCGAATAAAATTGCTCGGCGACTGTTATTATTGCGTTTCCGGGCTGCCGACTGCCAGAAGCGATCACGCTCATTGCTGCGTCGAAATGGGCCTGCACATGATTAAAGCGATTAGGGACGTCCGATACACGACCAAGGTAATCGAATGCTGTTTTTTAAATGCGTCTAATAACGATTAACGTTCAACGACTGTTTTCTTCATTTTCCGAAGAATCTGTGCAAACTTATTCGCTAGAAAATAACGAGAAAGTAACGAGACAAATGGCAGATCTTTTAAACTGTTATAATTAATTACTTTAAAGTGAATGGGGTAATTTTAGTTGCATATCAGTTGCGCGAGTCACTGTTATCGCTTTGTAGGAAACGATACGAAAAACTGTATTAAATAATTTTCTAATGGAACAACTGTGTGACGGGAAGACGAATTTTGACAAATGGACGTTTGCGCAGGTCGATCTGAACATGAGAATTGGGATCCATAGCGGCTCGGTTCTGTGCGGTGTGCTGGGTCTTCGAAAATGGCAATTCGATGTCTGGTCCTACGACGTGACATTGGCGAATCATCTCGAAAGTGGAGGCATTCCTGGGTAATTGTCTCCTCTCTAATTAACGCGAGCAAAGAATTTATTAATTTATCAAGTAGATAGTTTCGGTGGTATCGCGATCGGAGAACTCGAATATCGCATTGTTCGAAGACAAGTGACATTTGAAATTCGCTCGATGAAATTGAAACTAAGATAAAAGTCATCATAGTGGACGATGTATTATTAGGTCGAGCCATCTTTTTGTTCTTTTTATTTTATTTTATTTATTTTCATCTATTTAGCGAAAGCAAAAACTCGTTTGTCCCGATGACGCATAGTGGGTAGTTATTTACGACGCGACCCAATAACTCTTTTTGCGTGACAAACATCCTAGTAAAATTCAGTTCGTTCGCGAACATGCAACGGTTAAAATAAATGTTGAGAATCGATTAAACATTATTGCCGCACAACCATATCGTGCGACACACAACGTGTTAATGACTCTCGAGTCGACGCGAATTTTTTAACCGGCAAATCGCTATTGTTTATCGCGTTCCAGGAGGGTGCACATCTCGGAGGACACATTAAATTGTCTGAACGACGTTTACGACGTGGAGCCGGGGAACGGAGTCGACAGGGACAATTATCTGAAGGAGAGGAACGTGGTGACATACTTGATCAAACAAGTGGAGCCGTTGCGATCGAGGAGGAGGTATTCCTCGCGGCCAAAAATATGGTCGGAGGAGGATGGCGGCAAGAGTAAAAAGAGCTTCAAATTGAACAACCCTCTGGCCGCGAATAGCAACGCTCCAAATTCCTCGACGGAGGACGACATTGGTGTCGACTGGACTCCGGAAATTCCGTTCGAAAACGTGCGTAAAAATATGAAACTTCGCTGTTAGGACAAGCTTCGAGCGGGTAAATAGTTTCATTGAAAATTGTGTCGCCGTAGTTGAACACCGCGACGTCGGTCAGCAACTTGGAATCGGAGTACCTCGAAGAAGAAAACGGCAGCAAGAGCAAAACCGCTCAGGCTGAAAAGCTGAAGGCTGCCGGCCTTGAAACCGCGAGCAACAAGCGCATGAGATCGGCGAACATAAACGCCTGGACTTTGCGTTACAACGACGAAAGCCTAGAATCGAAGGTGAACTCATCGACTCCATCTTTTAGTATTATTTAGTATATATATATATATATATATACTATTTAGTATATTAAATTTAATCGAAATCGATTGATCTTGACACGAGCTTTTAAGCAATTAAAGATCGCGAAAAATCACAGTTTTTCACGAATTACAAGCAAAAACAGGTAATTTTTACATATCGCAGTGGCGCGACGACCGATTTCGATGAAATTTTTCAGCATGCAAATAAGTTACCGAGAACTACAAAATGCATGTTTTAAATTTCCGTTACGAGCTCGGATAAAAGAGTTGAGAAAACATCTGCTCGTATCATAGAAAACTCTAGTCGGTCTACCAATCTTAAAAAAAGTTATTCCGTTCGAATAGGTGTCGACGTACTTTCCGAGGCGACTGCAAAGAAAATACAACATACTTTCAAATTCCTTAATAGTTTGCCTGTTTTGCATTTGATCTACCAATCTGTCCGCTGAACGCATAAAGTCCGTAGTCTACCGTTAAACCCGATGTCGCCAACTTCGTTTACAGTTCGGCCAGCTGCGCGAGGACATGTTCAAATCGAACATGATCTGCTGCTTCGTGGTCTGGATATTCATCGCCATCTGCCAAGCCGTTATTTTACCCGAGTAAGCCTCTAACAAGTATCACAGCTCCGATCGATGGTTCTCCAATGATTCCAACGGCTCGTTGTCTTTCCAGCTGTACAGTCCTCCTGTTATCCTTGCTGTTAACAACGCTGATCCTGGTGGCGTCGATCGTCCTGGTGATGGCAGAGGAGTTTAAAAGCCTGCCGACGTACCTGCAACACGCCTCGTCGATGTTGGTGCACAACAAACGACATCGGACCATCTTCATCTGCATCGTGATCAGTCTGATGGCTCTGACGTCGATCGTCGGCGTCCTCGCCTGTCCGACGTCGATCCGACGATATCCGGAAGCTCTCGTTCTCGAGCAGCAACAGTTGGTCACGCCGACCTTGAAGCCCGAACGTTTGGTAGCACCCACGGCTGGTCTTGATCAGTTTATATTGACCTTTTTAGAGGCAGCTCTTCGGGACGAGTCGTCGGAAGATCGAGATCGCGTCACCGGAGAAAATCGGACGGAGTTCAGCGGATCCAACGATATCGAGATGGATCTAGCCAGGATCGATGGCGGAGCTCGGCTGTCGAGGCGACGGAGGGAGAAAGGATTCTTCAGGTTCCGTTCAAAAATCCAACGAACGTTGTTCTTTGAAATCAGCGAGCGGTTAATTAGGAGTGTTAAACGATCGAATGAAACTGCGTACAATTTGTTCTTGTGTATGAACAGTTTAAGAATCAATAGATCGTCGTATTTTATCTAGGTTCGGCAGGGAAGAGGTCGTCTCGAGGAAGATACTGTCAGCGACGGATGCCGAAGCCGAAGCTCTGTACTCTTCGGATTACGATGACGAGCTTCTCATGGAAACGACCTGCGTACGGCCGGAATACATCGTTTTTACGTGGATCTTGTGCTTGATCGCGCTCGCGTCGGCCCTGAAATTGTATTATCTGGTGAAAACAGCCTTGGCTACCATCATCGTGTCGGTATACGCTGTCCTCATCCTGGTGGTCTGCAAGGACTTCTTCACGATCTCTGACAAAGAGAAGAATCTGTTAGTTCGATCCCGATTTCGCGAGAATACGGTTTACAAAATAAGCAATTTCGCGAGATCGTTTCGTTTTTTATTTTCCAGAACGTCCATTCCGCTCTCGGCGCAGATGTTGACGTTCATGTGCGTGTTCCTCGTGATGGTCACGTATCACGGACGATTAGTGGAGGTGACTTCTAGATTGGACTTCCTCTGGAAACAGCAGGCCGAGAGGGAGCTCAGCGACATGATCGAGTCGCGGCACAATAATATGCAACTGCTGAAGAACATCCTGCCGGATCACGTGGCTCATCATTTCCTGACGCAGGAGCGGGCGCCAGAGGTCCATTGCATTCCAGTCTAATTGAACACCTTGCTGTAAAAACTGAACACATTCGAGTAAAATCGTGCTGTTTAAAGTTTTACATACACAGTGGTTTTGCATCGAGATCTTCAATTTTTAATAACTAAAATTCACCACGTTATCGTTGGACCGCAGATTTTATGCATGTATAGCAAATATAGAAACACGGAACAGCGAAGACAAAAGAAAAAGAATGGAAAAATATTGCAGCATTACTTTCGCTGTATCGACATCGTTAAAAGAAGACATACATTTTTATTTGGTTTCTGTTCGACACGATAGCGAGAGATGACGATAATTTCTATCTTGCATATAAAGATCCGCGGTCTAGTTATCGTATTGAATAAAAAATTGACCATCTGTTCCTCCTTCTCGGCTGACCTCGTCCGAAATACTTCATTTCTCGACGAGTTTCCTGAGCAAGATGAACGTCCATGTTAATTCCAAATCCCACGAAATAATATCTCATTGTTTAATATTCTAGACAACTGGCAGGATTACCGACAATTTCTTCTGTAATATAATTAACAGGAACTGTACTCGCAGTCTCGGGACAAAGTGGGCGTGATGTTCGCTAGCGTCCCGAACTTCACAGAATTCTATTCGGAGGACGTGAACAAAGGGATGGAGTGCATACGTTTACTAAACGAAATCATAGGTAAAAACCGTCGTATCGATTCGAAGAGGCTTTTGTCACGATTTATGAGTAATTTTGATCGAAGTTCGCACCTGAATTTTCAGCCGATTTTGACGAGCTCCTCGACGAGAATCGGTTCCATTGTATCGAGAAGGTCAAGACAGTCGGTGCGACTTATATGGCGGCTTCGGGTCTGAATCCTACCGAAAACGTAATATCATTCTATACAGGTTATTTGTAATTTTTCAAAATGATTTTCGAACTCGTGAATACGATGTTTCTCTCATCAGGACAAACACAAGGACGATATGGAGCATCTTTGCCGATTGGTGGATTACGCGGTAGCCATGCGGCTTCGCCTCGAAGATGTGAACATTCATTCGTTTAACAATTTCGATTTGAGGGTGGGAATCAGCTGTGGACCGCTGGTCGGCGGTGTAATCGGGGCACGGAAGCCTGTGTTCGATATTTGGGGCAACACCGTTAACTTGGCTTCGCGTATGGACTCGACCGGTGTCATGGGCAAGATCCAAGTTCCTCTAGATATCGCCAGGGTAACTAGTGGAACGGCTAAAGTCTCGCCATTTCATTTATTAACTCTTTTCGGTCACATGTCGGGCCAGACTCGACGCGTTGACTTTTACATGAATTATATTTATTAGTTATATGTACACGGTATGCAAGAACAATTGTAATATTTCTGATCTGTTCTAAATAGACCGCAAAGTTACCTGTAGGAATACGTTTGAATTCTGTAACAGTACGGTAAATCCGAGATAAGACGATCGTGATTTTGTGTTTCACACGAACGAACGCTAATTCACTTTTATAGGGGTTCTCTGGAAAAGTGTAGAGAAAATCGCATGTGGTTTCGTTTGGAAAGATCATCGATGACCTTCGAATCTCATAAAATAATGTTTCTATAGTTAGATGTATCCCTCCCGGCGGAGTAACTTTGTCCCGAGCAGGCTTATGTTTTATTTTATGCACCCTATGGCGGTAATGCCGAGCCACGTGTATTTTTATAATTATTTTTGCTTCGCGAAATGATTATTTACCTGCTGCGTAACATTTAGTTTCAGAGATAGTCGATGGTACTGATACTATTTAATAATAAAAATGATGTTTGTAAGTATGCATTTGGTAAGAAATTTGTTTTTGTTCGATAGTTTTTGGAGTCGAGAGGATACCAGACGCAGAAGAGAGGGTTCATCGAAGTGAAGGGGAAAGGGACCATGGAGACGTACTTCGTTCTGGGCAAGGGAAGCATGGAGGAGCAAGGCTCGACGAAACATACGACAAGATGTCGAAGTCTCGCGGCCGTCGTGTACGGTGTCGTACAAGCACGACGCAAGCAAATGCGAGCTCTTCGAAGGACATAATAAGTATAGTAATCGGCTTTTTTTTCTCGATTTGCTAGTGCCTAGATGCTAAAACGGTTCATTTCCTTCGAAGTAAGAGAACAATTGAAACGAGAAACACACAAACCGAGTTTCGCTGGCTTCGATAATAAGAATGGAACAATAGATATCGAAATTTTTGTCTGATTATCAAATGGACATGCCGTTACCACTAATTTCTAATAATATATGTTGCATAAGTGACGTTCAATATGGCGTCTTGTGGGGATCTCATAAGCCTTCGAAGACTATCCAGTATTTAATCGAGGACTGTCTTGTTATTGGGTTCTCAACACATTTTCACAATTCCTTTTCTTGGTAAATTTTATCGAGATCATTCGTTCTTTCTCTTACTGGACAGCGAGAGTTCTGGACCGTTTGAAGTACCTCACCCTCTAATTAAAATAAAATCTTCGTAATACGGTAAGGACCTGCGAATAACAACTTAATAACCGATAATAATTTAATTTCTCGAATGTCCGGTTAATGCGTTAATTGCTTCGCTTTAATTTCTCTCAAAGTTGTAACCCTTTCGGAGCATAGTTTCTTCAAACTTGATCGGTGTTACCCACGGCAATGCTACGAAATTATTTTTTCGCATTCGTTTATCGACGCTCGTTTCAATAATCCGCTCGTGCTCTTGTTTTTAGACAATTTGTCCGTGAAACTTAAATCGAAAAATACCAATGATACGATTTCTCGATCATTTTCCAGAGGGTTGCAACGAAGGCGTTATTTCGCGATTAAAAAGAAAAGACGGCAAAGAGTATTTATTTCTATAGCAATTTAAGAATTTCTAATCGATGCATTCGATTAATGTGTATGAAATTATTTCCTTCGATCTCGCGGTGTCGATTAAATATAATATGTAAGGCTCGACGAGTGTAAGGTTCACAGAAATTGTATCTACATCTAGCCAAGCAATAATGCCACAGTTGATCGCGTAACAAATAAAATTAACAAAGAGAAACAATAAAAAGAGAACAACAACAACAACAAAAATAACACATCCAAAACGATGAAAACAATTTCTGTTTGCGAAGGAACAGGGACTCTGAAACCGAAAGAATAAATTTCTTTTTAATACAACCGGACTACGGACGTTTTCTTTCATCATCTTTCAAGCTCTTGTCCTATACTTAAAAATAAGCCACTAAATAATAATACTTGAATTCCTTTTACCACAGAAATTTAACAGCCAAAAATATATTTTAAAAAATTGATTTATTACTACAGATAAAGAGTGCAAATGATTCTTGCCATATTTTTCAGGTTAAAATTTAAAATTAGCGGCAAATGATCGAAATAAATTTGTCGTATATACATAATGAAGGGTCGCAGGGAAACATTAATTATGTCAATATCATGGCATTGAAAAATATTCCAAGAAAATTTTATTTATTGCCAAAAATAAAGAATTTAATTCAAAATTCAGCTGAAATCATGGGCGCCTGAAAATTTGGAAATAACGCCATTTGCGGCAAAATCTGTTCGATGTCCGTACAGCGCCAATTGGAATATTGGTAAAACATTCAAACTGTTAGCCATGTTATCAATGGTCGATTCTGGTTAACAGTTTGAGCGTTTTGCCATTACATCGATTGATAATGGCAAAGAACCTTGTCAATTGTCTCAAATGACGCCAGTTTCAAATTTTCAAGCGTACGTAACTCCAGCCGGATTTTACATTATTCTTTCCATTTTTGACAATAAATAAAACTTGGTTGCAAGATGTAGATGCGGTAAATTCTCCCGAACAATCCTATGACCTTGATTTCATTGTTTCGTGCCTTAATTTCGATATAATTTATGTTTTTCGGCAACCCTGCATCGCGCATATAACACTAATACATTTCGACCGTTTACACTTATGTCGTGATCGCGTTTCGCCACGAATAGACGTAATTATGCCAATCTGATATACAGGAACATTTTAAGAACATTTTAGGAACATTTAGGACCAATAACGCTAGTTTTGAATAATTACTTACCGAGTTATTTTTTTTTTCGGGACCTTTGTAAGGTACTGGATTTTGAACATTTCCGTACCCTAAAAATATTTTATAGCCATCGATTAAATTTTGTTGATTGAAGAGATTAAAATACGATGAAGAAAATACGATAGTTTCTAGTTTAAAACTGTTAAGTTGCATTCGAAGCTACAGTAATTCGAATATCGAAAAGTTAATAATAAACGAATAAGTGCGGCTTCGAAGATTTAGAAATTGAAAATAGAATGGAAAATAAAATCGAAATTTGAAACGTTACATTGGAACTTGAAATTTGGGATCGAAAATGTAATGGGATAAATGAAGAGAAACCAACGAGAGGCGACAGATTTGGGAAAAGTCAATTTAATAATAAGTTTGCAAGGGCAGCAGCGTTTCGTGTCGATAATCATAATGTACAGCACAGCTCGACGACATAAAATCTCTCCGTGTCGCTGTGTATTACACCGTTCTGGCAAACACAAATATATTTCACTGAACCGTAATTAATAATCATCCATGATAATCAATAATGTCGGTAATGATAATAATAAGGCTAGCTACAGCGCGATCCCTTCGCAGCGAAGTGGACCGCCCGATTTCCGACGCTCTGTACACTTTTACAACGTACCTCAATAAGAATCTAATTACATTCAATTCAATTATCGTGTAATCATCGTTACAATTCGAAACTAATTCGAAGAATGTTTCATCCGTGGCGAAGAGCGTGGACCGCTCGTTTTATCATTCCCAAAACCCAAGAAATCGATGATTCGTTCTGGAACGTTGAAAATCGCTCGCGTTCAACCGAGCAACGAAACGAGAAACACAAAATCTTGGATCATCGATCTCTCGGGAAGAATAATATGTGCGCGCGCGCGCGCGCGCACGTTTGTGAGTGTGTGTCTGATACATGTGTTTTTATATTAAAAATTTCGTCGCTTCATTCTCCCGCTCGGTTTCCCTTCTCCTTTTTCGTTCTATTAAGGATACAAAGGCACTGTACACGTAAACATACAATTATTATAGGAGAGCGCTGTAGGCGGTCCGCGGATGTCCCTTTTGTAGAACGGTAAAACGTGCCCCGTTGGTTTTTTTTTTCTTTTTTTTTTGAAAAATATCCATACGATCTATGTTCCATTTTGCTTCATTTTTTTTCTTCTCCTTCCTCCTACACGGATTCGTTTTCTTTTTTTTTTGTTTCGTTTTGTATCGTTAAGACGCTGCACGCTTAAAATAGGGAGCGGTTTCCTTCGTTTCTAGCTGCATTGGTCAACGCTATTCTCATTTATATTTGTTTTCCTTTCTCATGTATGTATATATATATATATATATATATATATATAATCCTAAATGTTAAGGAAAAATATAGACGACTATTGTATTCATTTATTTTTATATATATATATATATAAATTGAATGTGCAGAACTCACGGTAACTATTCTCAGGAGGAAAGTAATTGGTCAATGCGATCAGAAGTTAAGAAAACGCTCCGGGGGTTTTGAAGGTGGGATCTGTTTTTCTTTTTCTTTTCTTTATCACAATTTGGCAGTGAATGTTCTCACGTTTAAAATACAGTTTCGCAAGGTTTTGCTCTCTCTCTCTCTCTCTCTCTCTCTCTCTCGTTCTCTCCCTCTCTCTCATCTTTCTCGCTTGCTGTCATTCTGTTTATTTCGTTCGCTACGAGAGCTTCATCGAGGCTCCTGCGCTGCTATTGGCTCCCTACGGTTTCCGGTTTTACAAGACGAGATTTCGAAAATATTAACCTCTCGCTATATTATCTCGCAGTTGCTCAGAAAAAATAAATTCACCTCTGTGTTTTATTCGTTTTTTTTTTTGTTGTTTTTCTTCGTGTTTCTCTCGGGCTATGCTCGTTCTACATAACACGGCGAGTACAGGACGCTACGAAATCGGCGTCTTTTGAAATTATGCTCGAACTACTGTTCCTTCGATCGTCACAGAGAATGATTTTCTTTCGATTTTTCGTGTAGAACATGATCGAATGTAAAACGAGACAAATGACAAATTGAAATGAGACGAATTTTCGTCAATTTGTTACAGAGTCTTTTTATTTCATTCTCGACAGCGGGTCCTCGTTCAGGCGACCGATATAATTAACAGAATCATGAGAATACGAGAAAAACCGAGATCGCGCATGGAAAACGATTACATTTCTCACAATCTGTACGATACACTCGATAATTGTCAAAGTCTCGCTACAGAGACGCGAAAACTTGATAGCAATAATACTTTCTCCACGATTATAAATTGATCGACGAAATCGTTTGCTATTCCATATTATTCTTAAACCGACCGAATCATCGAAAGTCAGAAAAAAACACGCGAATCGTTTCACCGTGGATCAAGAATAGCTAAGAATCGATGGAAACGCCATAGTATTAGAACATTTGTACTTGATCAGATTCTACAGAAAACGTTCGAGGAAAGCATTCGTTGTTAGCTTCGCGGCTAGTTCGAGCAGTGTTTCGAAACGACGGCCATTTTCGAACAACCTGTACGAAACTGAAACCGTTCGCCCACCGTTTAGCGAAAAATACGTTTCCGACGAGCGCTCTCTCTCTCTCTCTCTCTCTCTCTCTCTCGACTCGTCGTCGCTCGCTGGTCTCCCTATTTTCCACAGTTTTCTCCTAAACTCTGTGACCCCACAGGCCCTGGACCCAGGGCTTAGATCGCCGATACCAAAATACGAAGACTCTCGGAGAACTCGGCGGCGCCGGACAAGCAGGATACAATTTATTATACAATAGAATACCGTCGCTCGTTCTCGCCGACTATGGGAACAAAATGAAGATCGAATGTATGTACATCTACTTACAATTCGTCGTCGGACGATCAAGTTACCCGCTGATTCGGTCGCTTCCGGTTTCCGGCATGTTCTTTCGCGGTCGGCCGAACCGAACACTTCCCTCCTTTTTCTTTCAACAGAATCGCGTCGAGAAAAGTTTGCTTCGAACGATCGGCCATTCTCCATCCTATCTTCCTCTCCCGATTAATTTAGAACGCATCCCCTTCGCCGCAGGTTCTAAGCTCGCACAATCCGGTAATATAAGTCGGTAGGACACGATCGATCTTTCTCTTTTCATTTATTAAACAAACGAATCTCTTTCTTCTCTTTGTTTTGGTATTTTATTCGTGTTCGAAGTCTTCTCAAGGGGCAGTGATTCTTCGCCTCTGATCGATCCGAGGCGAGGGTTTCGTTCGTTATAATACTGCCGATCGATCGTAATCGCGTATTCGACTCAAAAAAACCGTTCTGCGCGATCTACGGTAACGTCTACGGTAATGTCTCCCTTACGGACGCTCAGGTTCTCCACGAAAATGGACAATTTTGGAAGAGAAGATACGATCGTTCGAGCCTTGTTGCTCGTTTTTTTTTATGGTTATCGATTGTCAACAACTATAAAAACGAGTCGCAAGCGTCTCCTCTTCCAAAATCGTCCGTTTCTGTACACAACCCGAGCATCGGTAAGCGGAGACATTACCGTACCCGCGACTTCGAAGGACAACGAGATTAGGAAACAATGAAACGAAATGTCGCGATTACTTCGGGATATCGCCGAATGTTCGCCACACAATCCACGATAACAAACGAATTCTCTCGGGGTTTCTTCCAACACACCCACCCGCAGCAGAATCGTCTCCAACGATCATTTCCGAGATTGTTGGATTCTCGCGCCACCGTTTGATAGAACACTTTGGAAGTACGATTCTTAGGCTTGCCGTTGGATAAAATGTTAAGCCCGCAAATAAGGTGGATAATCGTCTTACCGAGTAAACCATAAACGCGCAAACTTCCACTGCCAGCGCTGCGAAACATTTTTCTAAGAAAGAACGAAAAACAAGACTGTACAGAGTTTCGATACCGTATCGCCAACGATAACTCGACCTTGCGTCGATCCCTCGGACGAGGATGCATTTTTGAAACGTTGCTTCCGGTACTCGCAGCGTCTTCGACCGATATATCGAATTCGAGATATTGAGAATTGGCGCGAAGACACCGTCTTTTCGATCGTAACGAAATGTTGTCGCGTGTACGCCAGGAAGCAACCGTTTCTTTCTTGGATCCTGATCTTGGAGGGACCGCGGCGAACCAGACGGCAACTCTTGTCGTTCGTGTCCGACCGTCGAAGCTTGTTGAGCCGCGCGTTCCGCTTCGCTTCGTCACCCTAACACGCTATCCTTTACATTAAATATATTTATATGTAGGTATTTATAATTTATTAACCGTTAGTCGAAGTTGTCGAGTCGGTTCGAGATGTATTGGCAGAGCTCGCCGTCGCTGTCGACCGCCGATACGTCGTTTTACATATGCGTTGAGATCATTCGAGCGGTGTTTAACGGCTAACTAGCTCGCTGTGGTCGTGGAATGCGAACACTTGTACCGGGACACTGTGAAACGTGTGCGACGGCCGATGGCGAGTACAGGGTCGAACGCATTCGATGCTAGCTAAGACCGGGCGGAATGCGGTACAGAGTTTCAAAGGTGATCCGACACCTGGATTCGGCACGGGGAGGGACTCTCGACGACCCATCGTCGAAGCATATTAAAACGCGTACCACCGTCCAAATATATCCCGCGAGCGATTCAGCTAGCAAAACCGAAACCGAAACCATTTTCACGCTACACCTACGCTCGAACCAAGGAGTTCGTTCAATTTTTCACCATCGGACAGTCTCCGTAATTTCAATCTATCTGAAACTTAAACGCGAGAAACAGGTACGGTAGATTTAGCGTTAATCGTGTTTACAATGCCTAAGGAAATTCGGTCTGCTCGAACGTGTCTCTCAATGAGAACGGCCATTTTTCTTAGACCGGGCAGAAGTACAGAATCGTCAACGTTTAACCGTATACGCTTGATCAGCGTGTCCGTCGTGCCATTAAAAAATGATTAACACGATTAAATTTACCTATAATTATTTATATTCGATAAATTGTTCGAAAGCGCGGAATTAATGCGATTCGACAATGAATGATTAACGAAGTCGTCCTCTCCCCGAATGACCGATTAATCTCGACTGCTATATACGACGCATGTGATACAATGAAAAACATGCTGCTATTAACGCGTTAATATCGTTACGATTTGAAATATCGTTGACTGCGGATTCCCACGGTTGAAAACCAACGTTACACGCGCGGCCACTGCTGTATATAATGTATATGTATATTGCATTAGAACGATGCGACATTGAAATTGGTCGCGCGCATACAGCACGACTCCGTCATCAGTGGCCAAAATCGACGAACTCGTATCATTCTTCGCGAAAACCGAACCGAAAATCTGTCATAAATTCCCTATTTAAAGCTCCGTTTAGTTTTAGAAAATTGCGATCATAGGAGTTCCAGGTCCCAGGTCGATTCGTTTTTTCATGAAGCAACGATCGCTCGCCGCCGTGAATCGATGACGGATCGTCCTGTACGAAAGGAGAAATACGATCATCGTTACGCGTCAACTAATTTCACTCGGCGAAACTAGCATTCCTAGGGCTTTTCCAAAAATACATCGTTATTCCCGATGATCTTAACTACGGATGTACGGACTATCTACCTCTCTGTTTGTTTCTTTGTTTGTTGTTATTTTTTTGTTTCTTTCGAACATGTTCTCCCCTTTCTCTCCCTCTCTCTCACGCGTCTGCGAAAATACATCTTTTCGGCGGAACAAGAACTGCATTACGTTTTTTCCCCCCTCTCTCTCTCTCTCTCTCGATCTATACACTAGCGGTAGGTAAGATTTGTTTAATTATTTTGTTTTGTTTTTCTTTTGGTTTCTGGCACGTACATTTGGCGCTGCTAAACGCTAATGTGGAATTGACGAGACTGAGTTGAAGGTACGTTTTCTTTTGTGTGTACGCGTAACACGTTTCTCGATCCTCTCCCTTGAGATACGATTTTAATCTTTCCCTTTCCGCGGTCTGTTCGACTGTTGTGTTCCGCGTTGGTGGAGAAGCAACGTTGCCATTTTTCATGAAACTGTCAAAGTTCGGGTCTAGCTGTTTTTAGAAATAGAGGTCAGTGACGTGAACTCTTTGGATTAGCAATGCTCCTAATATATCTGTGTAAAGTTTAATTTGTCTAGAACACAATTGTTAAAAGTCAAAAAGTAAATGAAAATTACCACATTGTTAAAAATTTCGTCGATCGAGAATAAAAATGAAAAATTTATTATTCGTTAATGATTGAAATTTACGTGGTTCGTTAGAAATGCTGCGCAAATTGTTGCAACAGCGGCTGAATTTTCGATTCGTTTATGAAAAAAAACTGCGATTCGAGGATTTAAAAATGATTTCCTTCGTTCAAAAATTGCATTGCTTTCCCACCAACTAAATACGCCAGCGTTTCCCAATTTTCGTTCAAGTTCTATGCACCGCTTCGAGATTCGTGTAAACAAAAATTCATTAGACATTGAATCGAATCGAAGTTCATTTAACCGCAAAAAAATCTACTTTTTGTTTCTCTGAACTCTTCAAACTGTATAAGATTGATTACTTTGTACAATTCAAATTGATCAAAACGATGCAAACGGATAGAGGGCGAATTTTACGTATTTAAAATAGATTTATATATATGTATATACAGAATTAATAAAAATCAATTGTTCATCGTTCGATTGATCATTTCATTTGATTTATAATAGAATAACTCTAGTTCTAGACTCGGATAAAACGAGAAAATCGATCTTTCGAGCATATCTCGATTAGTGTATAAAAATTTGAATTTCCATGATAGACGGTGTACCGATAAATGTCATGATTGAAAAAAAATAATAAAAATAAAAGAAATTCAGACGTTTTTCTTACAGAGAAAAAGCAAAAAGCCGGAAATTGAGAAACACTGTTTTTTTTTTTTCTATTCGCAGGCTGTCCGCAGCACGTTCTCTCGTCCTAAACGCGGAAGTTGGTCTATCTTAGTTAATAGCTATACAAATCATACGTACTATTATACAAATATTTTAGAGCCGCAACGATGCGTTAATTGATTCGTTCGAAGCAAAGATTATTCGCTCTACTGCTGTGTGCCTACACCTTTCTCTTCCAACCTCCGTCACTCTCTGTGTCCTCGTTCTGCCGTTCGTGTTTGTAGAAAAGCCTATTAACCGGTAATTAGTCTAAGCGTGATATGAAAAAGGTTGTCGATTGCTGTTCGAATTTAGATTTAGCGCCACTCGCAGCTGGACATTCTCGTATCCGTGCTAAAACGTTCTCTACAACTCCCGTAAAAAATCAATTAATCGTCTTCGACCGATTATTACAAAAATGTACAATTACGTACGGTTTGAGCAGCATTCATTTACAATCGTACTCTAATCCGTAACAGTAGTTAACGACAGCCTAACTCTTATAGATTCCCATGTTAAATCCTCCTACGTATTCGTAATTGGCAGTGAACATTTTTCCGTAATATTTTTTTGTTTTCCTTTATCTTCGCACGCATAATCTAACCATCCTCTATAACGAGTGCACCCTTTAAAATTAACCGTCACCTTGTTAAGTATTTTCGATAATCCATCAAATGTTTTTGAACAGAAATTAGTCTAGGAAATTGTGTTTCTCGATGAAAAAAAAAATCTAGATCATCTTTTCGCGTCGATTTGTTCGAATATCTTTAATTCAAGGTCACCCGAAAGTCGAGTGTTTTTTTTTTCTTTTAAGAGAATGCATTTTTTTGGTCAACTTTTATTCGAAACATTTCCTTGACAGATTGATGTCGAAGGAACGACGATCGATCTTAGAGAATGCACCCTGCATAATAATTTTTTTTTTAATTTTAATCGCGATTCAATCAATGTTCCGGAACACACACACACACGATCGAGGAAAAGAGCAACGAAGAAAATTGTCTACGTTAAAGCATGTTACGCGCTTCGTAGCTCTTTGCCACGTCACGAGACGGATAAGAAACGCGACCGAAGCTCGAAGTTAAACTATACGATTTAACATTGTATCGCATCGACGACGGTGCTAATTATTTAAAGAATTACGCGTGGTATTTACCTGTGTAATTTACAAACAAAACGCAGTCTTCTCTCGTTTGTTTTTGTTTTTTCTTTTTTGTAATCTCCGCAGCTTCGATCTCACTATACCCGAGAGTTGGAACAGTTATTGTTGCGTTGTTGTGTTGGGCCACTAATCTAAAAATCGTCTGTACAAATAGTGCTAACTAATTGTCAGAATGTTCCAATTGCCTCGATGACTATACCAAGCGTTGTGCGTGCCATAAGAATCAGCAACGGAACCAGAGAATGCATTATCTGCGTTATACGGTCCAACGTGTCTGAACTTCTCTCAATCTCTCCTATCCAATCGTCATTCTTTTTAGTAGCTCTCAGGTACCTGAATAATGGTTACCGTAGAAAAACTCCCATTTCAAACACAGAAATTGTTCTATCCAAGTCACTGAAGAGTGCCTAAGAAGTCCAAATATCTGTGTTGCATGTAACCTCAAGAGGACTGGCTAGACTGAGCAGACGAGGGAGTGGTCAGAGACATGTGCAGGGTGAATCCGTCGTAGACGTCCATCAGATCCCGCATTCTGTATTCTTCTAGGCAAACGAACCCTTCCAGAGATGGAGACTGCTTGCGCGCACAGTCCATGCAATGTACCACGTGTCGTTTCTCTTGCTCTCTTATAAACAAGATGTTGAACACTTCGATCTGTGTGCGATGAAATAGAACGCAACAATTATTTACCATTCATCGGTAAAGTCATGTCTACTCTCTATTAGGTCTACCGGAAAGTTCTGTCTGATAATGTCATTGCAAATTTCAATAGATATGCACATATTCATTTGAGACATATATTTTTGGAAAATGTTGCTCATAAATTGCCATCACGCTGGCAAGAGGTCATAAGTAAGACGCGACGGAAATTATATTGTACAATAAATATTACTAAATTTATGAGAAATCTATTTTATTTATTTATATATATATATATNAGATCCCGCATTCTGTATTCTTCTAGGCAAACGAACCCTTCCAGAGATGGAGACTGCTTGCGCGCACAGTCCATGCAATGTACCACGTGTCGTTTCTCTTGCTCTCTTATAAACAAGATGTTGAACACTTCGATCTGTGTGCGATGAAATAGAACGCAACAATTATTTACCATTCATCGGTAAAGTCATGTCTACTCTCTATTAGGTCTACCGGAAAGTTCTGTCTGATAATGTCATTGCAAATTTCAATAGATATGCACATATTCATTTGAGACATATATTTTTGGAAAATGTTGCTCATAAATTGCCATCACGCTGGCAAGAGGTCATAAGTAAGACGCGACGGAAATTATATTGTACAATAAATATTACTAAATTTATGAGAAATCTATTTTATTTATTTATATATATATATATATTCCGGTAGACCTAATATTTGTCTTGGGCAATTTTAAAGGATGTCTTACCTCGCATTGCCCACAATAATGCGATGCTTCGTTCTTTCCCCGCCCATGAAACCGAACTTCGACACCTTTACTTTTCACAAATTCTAATATTAAGCAGCACTGTCTCATTGTCCTTAAGAGGCAATTCTTAATTAATTCGAATAATCTGGGATCCGACACTTTGATGTTCCGTGCTAAGTTCCAGGATAAGTGCACCATCGGTACGATAGATTTGAACGATTGCAATTTGTTCCATTCGTAACGTTCAATTGCCAACTGATATTGGCGAGCTGTCAGAGGACCTACGTTCCAGGCGATGTTGTTGCACCAACCGACGGCTTGAACCCAATGCACGCAACCTGAGACGAGAGATTTCGGTTAGAATAAATGTTAATTAACATTGAATAAAATCGTAAACAGATACCGACCTGCGTTAACCCAGACGAGATCACCTGGCCTTTGTAGAAACCTGTATACAGGAATGTTCTCCTCGTACAGGTCTTCTAAAGAAGGCCACCAGCTACCGTGAAGGTAGTTAATGTTATTCCTCTCGCAAAGAGCACAAATCACGCCCCAATATGCGTCAGGTACTGCGAACCATTCGCACTCTCCTGGCCCGATGTTGATGTTGATCGAACAAAAGTTGTTGTTCTCCTGATGGCCAGGTGTTCTACTACCAGGCACCTGTGACAAACAACACCTTGCAAAGCGTCCCGAACATCGGATCAACTACAAACTGAAAAATATTATTTTACCTTCATGTACAACTGAACGGTATTCATTCCCAAAATGACATGGCCAACGTGACTCAGCATATTTCCAGCCGACACGACCCTGGCGAACGCTGGCAGTTTCATCAACTCCTGTAGCTGAGGCTTCCACTTCCTTTCATCCGATAAATCTACATTGGTCCCAAATCGCAACATCTTCGCTCCAGGCCGACCAGCCAATCCGAAGGCGTTCTTCTTCCTCCTGACGGCGCCGGTGCTGTCCTTGGAGTCCGAGTCGGACAGATTCGAGGTGTGAATACCTTGAGCTTTCTCTCTCTCTTCCTTCAAGCTTTCTTGAAAGCTCGAAGCTTGGTACTGTGCGTATTTCGCGATGGTCGTATGACTCCTATGGCTGATGCAGCCCCAGACTTTCCTGCCCATCACCGGATCCCAGTTCTCGTCGCTGGTTTGTTGCATTTGAGTTCTGACTTCGATGCCGTGATCAGGATTCGCTTCCACCAAGGTTTTCGTCGAGAACAGACCCAAGTCAAGCTTCAGGGCAGCCGCCAAGCCGCGGATCACGGCTATCGGGTGCTTCAGGCAGAACTCTTGTAGCTGAGGACCGAACGCGTCCTTTTTATTCTCTAAGTAAACGCTAGGTGTTTGTGGTAGAAGTTGTTCCTTGGTTAGCCTCTGGCTCGGTGGATCCGGCGGTGCTGGCGGAGGCGAGCGATCGCTGAGGATGGAGCAGTTCGGAACACCTTTCAGTCCCTGTCCCTTGCACGCCTCGATAATGTTCTTCGCGTCCATCTCTATGCTAAGCTTCTGTTCAGGCTGAGACTCGCACAGGCTCTCCAACTTGAGCACCGGCTCCACTCGAGTGACCGATTCTATTTTATTTGTACTGGAGGTTGCTTCGCATTTCACCGTCTCCACCGAGGTTGGTGCCTTCGTGTTGCTCTTCTCGTACGTCTCCAGCTTCGACGTGGATAACGGTCGCGTGTCCTCCACCTTCTCCAGTTTCACTTCCTTGATCTTCTCCGTGTGAGTGTTCTCTTCCAAATTCGACGGCGAGAACGGACCTGAGCTTAGAGTGCCGTTGTTCATAATACTCGGCGCTTCTTCCTTCACGTCCAAGTCCTCGGAGCCGAAGTGTTTCAACAAGTCTTCCGCCAACGATGTCGCGATGTCCTTTTGAGACAGCAGAGCCTGCAGTTCCTGATCCGTAACACCCAAGTCCTTGTTCCCCGCAGAACCCTCCGGATAATTGCTCGTTGTCGATGATATCTGCGTGTAGCCTTGGGCTGCGTACTGATTAGGCGGGTATTGATTGTACTGACCGGACGCCATTTGTCTCTGGGGGAAGTTCGAGTCGGAGGCAGATTTGTAAGGCATTCCTGGCGTCTGGCTGTTTCCGGTTGCCGCCGTGTTGTAACCCACGTTGGAGTCCGAAAATCCTGTCTGTAATGCAACGGTTCCACCTTGTTGCAACTATAATACAGAGAATGGCGTAAAGTGATGGGTACGATATTAATTAAAGCTTCTTAGGAAAATGTGTACCGGTTGTTGAGGTATTCCGTAATTCTTAATAACACCGGGTTGTCCTAACTGTGAATGATTATATCCAGTGGGTTGTCCAGGCCTTAAACCTCTTTGCGCAACTTGTTGTTGCTGCAGCCTGAGCTGCTGTTGGTGCTGTTGCATAGACCTGTACTGATGTTGTAATTGGGCAAGCAGACCCTGTTGCTGTGGTGTTAAACTACCCTGATTTTGTTGCAGGAACTGTAGCATCTGCAGCTGTTGCGACGAAAGGTAAAACGGTGGTGGCCTTTGCTGCGCACCTGGCGACACCGTCGGCTCCTCTCCTGGCTAAAAGTTTTCATCACATTTCAGCGTTAATTTTGAAAATGGAAAACTACTGTAATTACTAATAATTGGTTCTTTGGTAATGGAAGCTTACTTTGAATCTCTTCGTGTTAAGATTCTGTCCTTGTCCTTGCGGATAAGGCGGTGGTGGACCAGAAGGTGTATTACCATATTTATAACCTGGGCCACTTGATGGTTGTTGTTGCTGCTGCTGTCTGCTAGACATCTCAGCGCTGATGGGTAAGTTCCAAGCCTCCTCTATAGACGGCAATTGCCGCCTCCTTCATTGAAACAAAAATATCTGTTAATGTGTGCATCACACGCGTTCGCAGACAGTTCTTTCGGTAATCGTTCATTCGAACGAATTTCTTACAAAGATTGTCTCATACATGGTATAAAGAACTGAAGATAATTTCAACTAAAAAAGAAACAGAAGTATGATTCTCTTCGTAACACACAGTGTAGTTGAACGTATCGTAATTAAAAACTAATTGTAGAGTGACAGACAAATACTTTTATTTCCAACAGGTATTTACATTTTGTACAATATTGTATCATCAGAGTAAATTTAATTTTCTTTCAAAATTTGAACCAGTATTTCTATACTATACAAATCATTTCTTTTTATACAAATGATAACTTTGTAGGGTCACCGAGTTGTTGAAAAATATTTTTTGTTCTGAAACTAATAACGTATAGACAAATATATATAGTCTTTGTTGCAAAATCAATTATTTTCTAGCTTCACAATTTAATGTCACAATTTAAAAATAATTGAACGCCTTAGTACTGAGAAAATACGTAGATAAAATGCAAGTTTCCGGTGAATATATTATATAATTTATATATAATAATATAATATTTTAAATAAAATATATATGAATTTCAGTTCTGAAAATATACAATTCTTTCCACGGTATAGTCTCGAGCTCGACCATAAAGAAACTTGCATCTTATTTTTCACTTTGTAAACTACTTAATATTTAAGTCTGTGTAAAAATCGAAAGCAAATAGCTCTGAACATCAAGATTAAAATTTAGGACTGCTTTTTTGTTTTTATTAGTTTATCCACTGAATTCGTTCCAGTCATAAATTACGGAATGATGCAGCGACTCAGAAATTTGTTACTCCAAATAATGATGATTCACATTATTATTCTGACCTGTAACTGCACCATATACCAAATTATCTTATTTTGTTGATCAATTCTAAGTACTCAAATTAATGAGTCAGTGCATATCTATTAACGTAGCCTAGCCAGTTAACGAATATAACTGATACAATGACTCAGAAAGTTGCTAATACATACGGTAAATTCTCTCCAATTGTCTCCATTTGTCCAGAAAAGATTGTCCAGAAAAATTGTCGATTTTTCTTTACAAGCCGAGGAGCAATTGGAAAGAATCCACATTATCCTAACTTCAATTTCTAGTCAATGGAACAGGACTTTCATTCATCTGAAAACGTCGAGTTTCCAGGTTTAATCAATTTGCATGATTCTGTTGGTCAACTTCGCATAATCTCACTGAATTAGTGTGGAGCAGTGGGGCACATGAACAAATTAATGAGTCAGTGCACGTCCATTAAGGGGTTTTAACAGTTAATGAATTTACTTGGCGGCGACGGAAGGCATCGGTGCTTGGCTCAAGTGACTCTGCAGGAAGTTTATCCTCTGTTGAAGGGATGGGTTCATCGGGGTGTTACCACCGGACTTGGCGCCGCCCAGGCCCGCCAGTGAACCCGTGCAATTTGGTGTGTTGTTGTTGCCCCTAAACAAGAGAAAATTTCGCATTTCACTGCACGATCCTAAGAACTGCTAAGACAGGCGAGCTTTCTTTCTCTTCTCCTTACACTTTTCTCTTTTTTGAATGCTGACCTGTCTTCCGACTTACGTATTTGTCTGCATTTACATATATGTCCGAAACGCACCAATATATGGAGCGCCTACTATAGCAAAGTAAGAATATACAACAGGTACAATGAACAATACAAATATAGATGACGATTGTGCTTCGTTATAAGCAGATACGACTATCGCGAATCTTTTGAATTTTTTTCTTTTTTGATGGATTCAATACTGTATTTCAATGAGTTGACGAGATAAAACGTGTAATTGTCTACTCGGAGAAGTTGGAGAAATAGAAATTGACAAGATTAGATACAGATGTTCTCTGACAGCATAGCCTTCAAGAGGCTAACATGCTTTTGTCTCGGAAAGAATATAGAATCAACAATTTACAAGATTAAATACAGATGTTCTGACAATACATTCTATCGTTGAATAAAGTCCAGCTGATTCGACTGAATAATATCTGCTATTTTAAATACATTTTATTTGAAATTGTAAATAATAATAGTATTGGTATACATTTCTATGAAGATACAAATTATATTTGAAAAATTGTTAAAGTATCAGAAATACCAATATTAAATACAATTTAATATTTAAGCGTAAAGAGTCAAGTTAAATCTTTGCGGTCTCGAGCGATCGTGTTATTTGTTTCAACAAGTTCATTTTTAAACACAGGAAAGCATTGGTTATCCATCGTTTTGATTAAAAATTCGCGAATACCTTGAATCTATGCCAATAAACGTGATAGTTTGCGTTGTATAGTCTTGCGTCGATTATGTATTCGAATTTGAATGGTCTCTGACGACCTTGAGGTGTTCCCAATGCTCGGTGCATACGAAGTTACTTACATAAGACGTTCAAATGTTTTTGGATGAGGTAAGCTTACGAACGTGCCAACAAAAACATTGCATTCTGTTGTCTAAACAATATTCAAGGTGATCTAGAACTTTATATGAAAGAGACTCTGGATGTTTCCTTATTTATCAAACCTGAGATGACTTCTGACATCTTTCGAGGACCAAAAGTTCATTAACTACCTTGTCGAAAGTGCTGTTATTTTCTCACAAGTCTACAAACTGATTAAAAATTTTAAACATAATACAAACTTGAGAGCGACAATCGGTAGTTACGGCAGCCGAGGTTTACCGAGATGCCAAAAGTCATCCTTAAGTTACCGAACAATGAGAAGCCTGTGCATTAAAAAGAAACTAATAAGGACTACAGCTGAATTAGGGACTGAAACATTCAAGTACGAATAGTGTAAGCGTAATGGCGTACTTGTAGCTTTACTGAGAGAACTTGAGGTTCGTGAAAGGAGTTAGGGAACATTAGAAAATGGCATAGGTTCTTTCAACTGCCACCCGGTTAATTACGTTAGTAACTATTGAAAACAGTCTTGGCTGATAAACAACGCTACTGGAAAAGTTTGCTCACAGCGTTAGAAAGGTAAGAGGACCCCCGATCAAAAACTAAACAGTGTGCTGCCTTAAGAGTGTGTCGAGTGTGACAAGTTCAATTTTCCCTCTTTCTGCTCGTGCATTCCTATGGAAGACCTCAAGTCCACTCGGTACATCTATACTAGGTAGACCTAGATTAAGCACAGCTGCATTAGGTTACTCTTGCACTGGGTGGTTTCAACATTATCGGCTCTCTAAGCATAATTTCATCGATGCTTCGGTCAAATTTAACCGCAAAGGATCGCACCTAAATACTTTAATCCTAAATATCTTACAAAACTAAGCCTTAGGATCAACCGACGTTAATTAATATACATTATGGTAGCGCGTGGTAAAGACTATATATAGGGAGTGTGAACAATTGGAAATCAACGGTCCGATCGAATCTGCTGCTCGAGCGATCCCCTACAATTTGAACGCCACGTGTACGAGTCACGATCGGTCGTTCGTCTAGAAAATGATCGATTCTAAGAAAGCTGTTCAGCGACACGAAACTTATGGGATCCATCGATTCCGAAGGACGCTCTCGTAGAGAACTTATTTGTTTAAAAAAATATATTACAAAGTATCCGTGTTATTAGAAAATATATTTGGCAAGATATTTGTCAGCTTTCGAATAGTTTGTAAAATGAATGACCAAACACGGTCAGCAACCCCGTACCGTCGAGTTCATTTTCATCCTCTGGTTATGAATATTTTGGAGTTTCATGTTGCACGTAACTTTTGACGAATTGTAGGGGATAGCTTGGGCAACATCCATATGGCGAGGGAGAAACTCCAATTTAAAGGGAAAGAGAACATCCTTATAAGCGAACATTCTCCGTTACATATCCGGTTGCATTTGGTGCAATAGAACGCCGCGCGCCGGTTATTTTACCTGGATGCGTTGACGTAACAAGCTAGTGCGTCTTTAGGCTGGCTAACGCTTTCGTACAAAATGCCCAGATTAGTCCACGCAGCCGAGTGAGATTTATCTAACTGTACCGCGCATATATAGGCTTGCAGAGCGTCCATAGGCTGGTTCTGCTGTTGGTACAGAACGCCTATGCTGCACCACGTGTCAGCGTTCCCTTCGGACTTTTCCACGGAGTTTCTGCAACAATATATCCTCGGCTCAGCAACGATCGACCGATGATGCGTCGGAAACAGTCTTCTTATTTTTTGTCTACGCTGCCCGAGAACTTGGGTTTCATTTAATCGAATTAAACTTGACTAAGCCGTGCGTTGCTCGTTTCGCTCGACAACCGTCTACCCTCTCTCGGAACGGCCGCATCTTTCATTTTCTATTCAATTTTCGATCGTCTAATCAACACACACATTCCGCCGTTCAAGTTCGATCTGCTACAGAAGTAATCAGAAATAATCAGAGTTACGTCCAAGATCGCGCGCGTTACCTGTAAGCGATAAACGCATCATGAACCTTCCCGGAAGCGGCAAGGCAACGTCCCAACAGGTAAAGGCTTTGGCCGCTTTTCGGTTCCGCCTCGATAGACTTTTGAAGGCAGTGAATGGCGATAGCCTGTTTTTGTTGTCTCGTTATGCCCAGCACGGTGCAGTCAACCACGTGGTACATCCATCCTGGAAAACAGAAGCAAATTAGTGCCCCTGCAGCGCCCCAGTATCCTCGTCAAGATCTCGATCTCTTAAACTCAAATATTTCTGCACCGTTCGATAAGCAAACGCGAACACGCGAAAACATTGTTCAAAATCCGCACGCACTTGTTTGCAACAGCCGTGTCTCGATCGAACGATGACTTCGAATGGAATGGAACTAGGTCAATTACCGGTCACATTTCTCGAAAGATATCGATGAAAACAAAATTTCCTAAGATTTTTCCATGCACTGCACCGGGGGCTCCCTCGACCCTCGCTATCAACGGGGATTAGCGAAGCCTTCCGCACAGACTTCCGGAAGTGCTTTCAAGCGGCCGCAGATCACGCGAAGATCCACGCACAGGCCTTGTGCACGAGATCGCGGTAAATCCGCGGAACAAGTAGGATCCGCGAACGATTCGGGGAAAGAATAACGGGGGTGGGTGGTACTCTGTTAACACGCGAATCGACATGGAGTAGCTTCCGGAGGAATGACCAGCGTTCCGATAGATCGCTGCGATTCGGGGACGTGTTGCCTCAACACTAGACGAGTACCGAACTGAATAGATTTTCACAGGTATAACCTAGGGTAGCCACTTTCACCCCACTCTCCCTTCGAAGCAAGTCTCGAATTACAACCCTCTATAAACATAGGCGTAGAAGCCTAGCCGAGAGCCTCTATTCGACGATCGGGAAGTAGAATTCGGACGTTGCACCGCCAGGAAACCTGATTTCTTCGAGATAGTTCTCTCTCTCTCTCTCTGTATTTTATTCGAAATCGTGCACACGCCTTCGAAATTGTCTCGCGGGGTGTAAATTATTTGTTAAATTGGCATTTCATTTGAAAAATCGGCGTTTCATTTACTTCCGGTTTATCTTGTTACAAAGGTATGTATTTTCGTTTCGAACATTTGCCCAGCTCCACTGGGATAGAAAATTATTATATACCGATTAAACGCGTTCAATGTATCTCTACGGCTCGACGTGATTTTATCTGTTTACATAAAAATTACATTTCTATTTGTATCGCATTCGAATGCGCGGAGCTGATGCAAAATTTAAGAGTATTATTATCTTTTATTAAATTTTGTTTAAAACCGATGGTTTACGAAGAGAGGAAAAATTGTTGGAGAGCAGAACGGTACATGTTTTCGCCGTTGAGACTGTCGAAGCCGATGTGGTTAGGTATCTTATTCTATTAAACGGATGTCGGTTTGCTGGCTGGATCCGAGCAAGTGTCTATACGCGTATCCTTAAAGGCAGCTGTCAGCCTGTAACGGAACACCTTTATTTTCCAGTTCTTTCATTCGTCATTATCTTCTGTGCATAGATCTGCTCCTCCTGCGGAGGTTTGGAAAGGCGAGGACAGGATGTTGGTAGAGCCGCCGGTAGGAAGTTGGTCATGGTATCTTTGTTAACGTGCTCGAAGGAAAATGATTTTCCCTATTAACGAGGTTCGATGATTACGCCGATTTCACAGAGATAATAATCTTGACTCCCGCACGAATACCTATTTATCTAGAGTGCATTGGAATAGAGCAAAAAAAAAAAACGATTTATGCATGTAGAAATTCACAATCGTCTAGCTTGTTAAATACAAACATTACTTCCTGCTCGAACTTTCCAAATAAACGAGTAAACGTAAAGGTATGCAGAAGTTTATTATGCGGTCTTAATAAATTCACATTTTTATATTTTGAGAGGAGAAACTCGGTCTTGTATAAGTTGCAAAAATGTATCAACCAAACTATGAATGCGCGAAATGAACGTAACGCAAAGACGCGATCGTGTTATACAAATTTAGGAACACTGTTTCGAGCATGTTAAAATTCGTGAAAAGAGGGATATATTTTTCTCTAATTTGCGTTCGACCCAGTTAATTACAGTTACATCGAGCGAGCATGTCAACCGAGTTATTTAATTCGAACGAGTCTCGACGCGCGTAAATTTCGAAAAAGACTTCTTTTTAAGTGTACAGACGCTATTGCGAAGTTTTAGGACAGATGCGGCGAGCAGCGCGCGATTGCGACGGGCATATTCCGCGCGAGCCAGCCAACGAAACTCGTTTTCTTGTCGGATGATTTTTAATCCGCGCCACCGGTAATCCTTTTTATTCGAGCGTTCCGCGATCCGTCGACGGGTAAACATTAAACACGGGTCCGTGTGCTCGGCGCAATTTGAAACGCGGTAATTTTTGCGTCCCCGCGCCGTTGCGCGCTCTCCAAATTAAACACGCGCCGTGGGAAAAGCGCGAGTTTCGCAACAAGTTATTACACAATCGTAGGCCGCGATGCTAAAATGCACGGCGATTCTAAATGGAATTAAGTCGGATCGTAAACACGCTGCCGGCGTTCAAGTGTCCTCACTGGGTGCTCTAATTGTCACTCATTACTGGGACTCGCGCGGATGTTCGTGCAAACTTTATTCAGCAATTTTTTTCTGGCGAGCCAGCGCACGCGAGATTCGAACGGAAGCAAGCTTCTTTTGCCGGCGAATTTGTCCGTTTACCGGAACACCCGAGGATCTTTTCATACGAGCCGCGAATTCCACTGCGCGTTTCCTAAACTTTTACGTCTTCGCATTTTCTAAAATCCTGTACATTTTTGTTTCCACGTTTCTCCGGTACTAGGACATTTTTATTTCATGGTTTTATTTCTAATACCGTTACTTTCTTTTTTTTATTATTTATACATACGCGACTCGAAACGAAATTAAAATCGAAGAATTTTGTATCCACTACTCATTTGAATATATACGCGTATTGTTCGAGTATCTGACAAAATATGCTGGAACAATCGATAAATAGAATTACATGCGCGAGATTGTTTAATCGTAAACATGGCTCGAATGTGAATCGGTGAATACAAAATAATGTACATATACAGGGTGAGTTACAAATTAGTCTCCACGATTTAACCGACAAGATATTGCAACCGTTTCAATTTATAAACAAATTGATTTTCGATAGAAAACAAGGTCACCGTTATATTTTCAAATGAAACTAAGTAATTTTAACTTCACAGTATTATAGGCGAGATGTCGAGTTCTTTTTCAACGACTTGCTACATAGATGACATTGGAGGAAAAATTGCCATGAATCGATTGCCCGAACGATTCACCCTGTATGGAAATGGGATGGCATGATATGTGAGAGACTCTGGCGGATGTATACAAGAAGGTAGTCGATTGTAAATTATCGATTCGTTAAATTGCTGTTTGTATTTAGTTTATTAAATATTTGTTGTTGTTCGTAACACGTCGCGAATCAACGATACCGAAATCTAGAATCTGAAAATTCACCATAGGAAATGTTGGTTCAACTCTTTCGTATTCTAAACGTCGTAGTAACATTCGGTTTGTTGAGTTAAAATTGTTGATCGCGGTTAGAATAAATTTCAAAGCCCGATTAAAAATTAGCGTCACGCACGTGTCTCCAACGCGACGTTCGACGTGTTACGAACAACAACAAATATTTAATAAACTAAATACACACAGCAATTGAACGAATCGATCGTTTACAATCAAACGTTAAAATACGATCGTCCGCGTTCTCGCCAGGAAATTTCGGCGCCCTTTTACAATATTTGTTGAGAATGGCTCTTGACAGCGAGCGACTCGGCTCGCCTCGAATTTCCGGCGGACCAAGGAATATTCGGAGAAGAGGAGCGTGAAATTCGAGAATCGAGAAGCGAAAGGACCCGAAACGGACGACGATGATACGGCCGCGATAAAGTGTCGTTACACCGGCATGCGGCTCGCCCGAAAATTACGCGAAGCCTCGAACTCGGATTGATATTCTCGAATAATTTGGATGCCGCGGAGTTTCGATGTCATTTCGATCTTTCACGGGACCGTGCTGGCGGACGCTTTAAGGTTCCGAGGAACCTTCTCGAGAGAAACCGCCTTGGAGACCGATTTTTAAAAGGTATTTTGTGAACGCGCAGATTTTTATGTGCAACCTCGAGGCATCTGATAAATGAACGCGCAGCCATTTCCGAGATTACGCTTTTGCATACGGGCTATGAAATTTAAACGCGAATACTCGAATATCTCCGTCTTTTTTGGTTTTGCGGAGAAAAGTCAAATCGCCTTTAGTTGCAATTTAAAACGGCAGAAAACGTTGAAAAAATTTAGAAATATCATCGATTGTACTATTTTTAGTCTATTAAAATGATTGAATAAAGATGGACTACTTGTTATTTGGTTTCTATTACTTGCGATTGAATTAGGCAACTTTCATTTCGCATATTAATTCGCGATCTACAGTAAATTCTCCCTAATAGACGCTCGGATTGTACTAAAAAATGGACAATTTGGAAAGAGGAGACACGATTATTCGAGACTCGCGGCCCGTTTTTATAGTTGTCGACAAACGGTAATTATAAAAATAAATAATATAATATAATCGTATCTCTCCTCTCTCTTCGCAAATCGTCCATTTTTGTGTAAACTCTTAGCGTCGATTAGGGAGAATTTACTGTAATTGTCAAGAAAGTGCCTCGTTCGCGGCCATCGTTTCTTTCGCTATCTATCTTCGTTGCTAAAATAATTGACCAAATGCAACGCAATATCAAGACATTCTAGCAAAACGAAGTTACAGGCATCTTAGAGAATTTTATACGTTTGCGACAGGAATGAGTAGATCAGCGACAAGAAAGTAAAAAAATGTAAAGAGTTCGAGCAAACATTGTTGCATTATTTTTAACTCGGTAAGATGATTTAAAAAGCGAAATAAATAAAATGTATCTCTCTAATTCGTGCAGACAGTTTTTACTTCGCATAAAAATCCGTAATCTAATAACGAATTTAAGAAACAACGCGCGATCGAATCAACTTTACGTATTTTCACGTAAACTACAGGATCGTGAACGTCGTACACGCGTGGCAGGGATAAAAGATGGCGACAAGAATTTCGTTCCGAGTATTTTGTCCATAAAATCAGAGATAGTCGAAATAAACGAGACTCGGAAATTCACGTGTTTTCG